TATATGTGTAGAGAGAGAGAGAGAGAGAGAGAGATGGCTTCTTTTGCATGAGCATCTGCCACTTGTTTGAGGTGGAGAAAGCCAGCAGCGATGTTGTGGAGCATGGAGGCCATGCAGTCTACCTGAGCGGTGTTGATGATGGTGTTGGAGAGAGTAGGAAGAACCCTTCTCCGAACGTAGACCTCTGTCTCCACCGACACATCCTCGAACCGGACTTCGATCTTGGGGAGCTCCACGCTCAACCTAACCTCACACAGAAAGACACCGATGAAGGATACCCGGAGAGAAGGGGCAGACTTGAATCTGCTCTCGAGTTCTCATCATCATCATCATCATCATCATCTAAATAGGGTTTTGACTCCCAAAGTACCTCGCTCTCCAATCTCGCAGACGCAGGACGAGCTCTTCGTGCTCCTCGCATGTCATTGGAGGACCGTCGGATCCCTCCATATCTCTCTCTCTCTCTCTCTCTCTCTCTCTCTCTCTCTGAAACAAGCTTCGAAGAAGAGGAAGAAGACGAAGAAAGACTAGTAGTATATATAGCGCACATGTTGGGGCCTTTCAATGGAAGAAATTGACCGATGAGCCTCTCTACGTGATTTGGTGGCCATAGTTTTCGCTAACTCGATCGTGTATATCTGTCTTGTTTATTTTCTCCAGCCATGAAAGAATTCTTTGACACTCTCACCCATCACTTTTTCTTTTTCTTTCGTTTTCTTCTACAAGGAAAATAAATATAAAAAAAACTAGAAAATCATAATTTCTTCTCCTTTCAATCAACTCCTTTCGGATTAAAGAGCTCGTAGATAAGGGAGAAGGACAAGTGGTGAGTGGAAAATGAACTATCACATCAACAATTAAATCATAGAGATTGATGGGTAAATATCAATAATCTCATGTTGGCTGAAACTAAAAGAATTACGTATGTATGTATGTATGTCTAAGTTTGAGATGAATATGATGACATCCTTAATTCTTTGATGGATTATGATCGACATAAAACCAAGATATAATGCCTCATCACTCTATAACACAAGCCAAACGTAAAGTTTGTGTTAGGCATGAATCGATCAACTCAACATAAATGGCGCAAGTGGATTGTTCTGTGTGGGGTGTTGTCGAGTAGCCAAGCCATCATTTTCTTATATCTCACGTGAATCATTATTTCAACTCTCATTGATGATGAGAAGAGAAGGAAACGAAGCATGTGGAATACTTAATACACTATTTAATCTAATTCTCCGATTCCACCAACTCCTTTCCACCTATTGTCTTTTGTCTATTGGATCCTTAGTTATCGATTTCTTTTTGGGTGGTTGGTCTCACATCCATCTGTCTCTGCTCAAGTAAGGTTTCAAGTCTCAATATAAAAAGTATATATTCGGGATAGATTTGGATACCCAAAATTGACGCACAACCCAATTGCTATTAAATTATAATATCAAACTATTTTTTATTATTTATATTCATTAATTCAATTGATTTTTTCGAAAAAAATTTCATTTTTTTTGCTTTTCTCGAGAAATGTCAACGTCCCTTTCTTTCTTGCCTAGCACTCCTTGACTTGATAGCCAACATCATTTTCTTTCGAAAATAGATCGGTCCATGCGATGAATCGACATGGTTACAATGTTTTCAACAAAATCAGAAAAAATATTTTGTATAAATTTTATTATAGTATGTGTTCTAACGCCGTGTTGTAGTATTTTTATTAATATTAAGAAAATATTATAACATGGTATAAAAATATCATAACATAATATTTCTTTTACTGTGATATATATATATTTTTTCTGATAATACAAAAATATTATAATACAATAAAAAATACTATAACTCGATCGGTCTATAGAAAAAGAGA